GAAGGAAGGAAGGAAGGAAGGAAGGAAGGAAGGAAGGAAGGAAGGAAGGAAGGAAGGCGTTAGGTTCAAAGGAAATCTCCAAAATGGCAGTGCTGGTGACACTGTCCTAAACAGAAACAGGTGACCTGGTAAGCCGAAGGATTGCTATTGAGCAAACAGAAGCCTAAATTCAGCGTTCCTCAAGGACTTTGCAAAATGGACTTCTGCTTGCCAGGAATCCACTAATTCTCTTAATCCTTCCCCAAAGTCAACTACCTCCAGCAAAGAGGACAGCTAAAGTCTGCTGACTATCATATAAAACCTACCTGCTTTCCCACCACTGTCTCCCCCTCCAGAGAGAAAGTCTTGGTAATTTGATCCCCATTAAACCTTTCTGCCCACAGAGTGCTCCAATTCAGTGATTTCACTGTGTTCTCAGTTACATTTGGTCTGAAACACAATAGGGACACTGCCTTCACCCCAAAAAAACATGTCCCTCCTAACTAAACCAAACTGCCAATTTGGCCTTCCTGAGAATGTATTCTTTGCCTACACTGCCTTCTGATACCCCCATGTTTTACTCCAAATTTGGAGTGTGCCTCCTTGGCTGTTTTTCTCCTCTGCCTGCTGGGACATATGTCTGTACCAATCATCATATCTCCTTGTCTATTTGGGTAAGTGTCCTCCTGGAAGCTGCCCATTCTGTCCCTCTAGTTTGCTGAAGCCTGCTCAATGCAAGTCAGTCACATCAGCCAGCATACCAGGAAGTTCCCTATGCCCTATACACAGAAAAGGACACCTCTCTAGTGTGATTCAGGGCCTCTCTATGACAAGTATTAATCCCTTTGAGGACACCCTTGGATCAGGACACTGTCCTCAGCACTTACCCCTTAGAGTGTCACCCTCCCTGTGTCTCTTGGAATTCTCCTTCTGGCAGGATTACTATTTATGGCCCCTTTCCTGAGTCTCGCCCGCCACCTCCTTGCTCTGGGATCTTCCATTTCAATATTCTCTGTCTCTACCTCGGAGGATCTTTTTCTACCTCTCAATCCCTTTCTCATGCCTTCACTAATCTCTTTCCATCTAGAACCATGAGCCCAAAATTAAATGCTTTCTTTTATGAGAGTTGCTTTGGTCATGGTGTCTCCTCACAGCTATAGAGCAATGACTAAGACAGACAGGAAGTCATACCAGCAAGTAGCAGACAGGAGCCAGAAGCTGAGAGCACACATCTCCTCAAGCACAGTGCAAAGAAAGTCAACTGGAAGTGCTACCAGGTGTTTTAATCTCAGAGTCTAGTCCCTTGCTACTTCTAACAAGACAATGCCACCTAAAACTCCCAAAAGTGTGCCAGCAACTGGGGATCAAGTGTTCAAATGCCCAAGTCTATGATGGACATTTCTCATTCAAACTACCACAGTAGATTTGTTGGGGTTCAGGAAATCGTTATGCAAACCATACAAATACCGATCTTAGTTAAGCAAGAACAGTTTATTGAATGTGCACCCCAAGACTGATTGATCAGAACCACAAAAAGGGACTCGAGAGCCTAACTGTGGTACCAGTCTGTTCTTAGGGCAGGCTTTCGGAAGGCAAGGGTGGAGGCAGTACTCCATTTTGGCTAACTAAACAAAGTATTATCAGCTGACTTTTAAGCTGATTGGTCCTCCGTGAGGTAAGACGGGTAGTAGACAGATGGTGAGCAGGGGAGTTTTGGAGCATTGAGATGACAGAGCATAAGTAACACAGGGTTACCATTATGACCTTTTAGGAGAAGTTTTCAGTGTCAGCTATGGATAATTACTACTGGGAAGAGGAGTCTGAGAACCTGACCTTAATTTCACCTTGTGAGCAAACCGGAGACTGAATACAAAATGGCTACAGTTATGTTAAAAAGGAGCCAGCCTCAACAAGCATGGCTACCAAAAGCTTAAACAAGTGGCAAAGCTCTAGCAAGGCTTGCTGGAGGCAGAGGCAGAGAACTGATACAGATGAAATGAGAATAGCTGCAGGTGGATAGATAGGACATTGAGAAACCCAACCAGGAGGACAGTAAAGGCGTTTGCCACCCCCAGGTACCCACACAATGGGAGGAGAGAACTGACTCCTGGGAATGTAAAAGCATCTTATTCACCTGGTTTAATTGGCTCTGAGGCTTAGTGCCTCCCTCCACTAACATAGGCCTAGTCCTAGAGCTTCTAGCCTCTGTACAATCTAATATAATATAGGCCTATGTTATGGTTTGTATATGCTCAGCCCAGAGAGTGGCACTATTTGGAGGTCTGGCCTTGTTAGAAGAAGTGTGTCAGTGTGGCCGTGGGCTTAAGACCCTAACCCTAGCTGCCTGGAAGCCAGTCTTCCACTAGTAGTCTTCGGATGAAGATGTAGAACTCTCAGCTCCTCCTATACCATGCCTGCCTGGATGCTGCCATGCTCCTGCCTTGATGATAATGGACTGAATCTCTGAAACTGTAAATCAGCCCCATTTAAATGTTGTCCTTTATAAGAGTTGCAGTGGTCATGGTGTCTGTGCACAGCAGTAAAACCCTAACTAAGACAGCCTACGTTTTCAGTCTCTGAGACTGCTTAATAACTTCATTCCTTCCTTGTTCTTTCTGAACTCTGGCTGGCTGGTT